ACTCTCTGGTTTAAGGTGAGTAGGGAAAAAGTTTAAAGGATTTGAAAAGGAAAATTGAAAGAATGTTAAGCCAAAAAGGAAAAAGGAAATAATTTAAAGGAGGGTGGGAAGGGAGTTTTTGGAGGAGAGGATAAAATTTATATTTTAAATAAATATATTTTAATTTAATGTATTTTAATTAAAAATATAAAGTAATATATTAATATAAATTTAATGTATTTATCATCATAAATAATATATAATTATTTTAATTTAAAATTATAAAATATGTTTTTTCTTTTTAAAAACTCTTCAAATATAATCTTGATGAAAAAGAAAACATTTTATTTAATTGGTAGGATTTATAAATAAAAAAGTCATCCGGATAAATAAATATTTTTTTAATATTATTATTGTGATTAGTAGTTTAAATTCATCTTTAAAGATAAAAGTTAATATTTTTATTCTATTAAATAAATTTTATCAATACAGTCATTAAATTTGGCTTATTTATTTTTTAATATTTTTTTAGAAAATAAATTTTTAAAATAATAATTTTTAATATATATATATATATATATATATATATATATATATATATATCTGAGGTCTTTTTTCGTATTAGCACTTATTTCGTTTACTGTAAAGACAAAATTTATAGAATTGTATCATATGTCATACTAACTCAACTTTCAAAATTCTATTTAATTATTTGTAACTTCGGAACTCATAACTATAGTTAATATCACTTTATATAGATAAGAGAGAATATAATTTTTTTAATTTTTTACTTTTTCATTAAGAAGTAAGGTCCACATTAGAAGTGAGAATTATAAAGTGGTTAATACTACATGTCATGACCTTGCAACTCGTTTATTTATTTTCTCTTTTTCTATCATCAATATTATTTATTATTTCATTATTGTCCCTCTCATAAATTGTATAATTAGATTTAATTTTTGACTCTTTGAATTTGAAAGCACATTAGACAAAACACAATAAATGCATATGGAAGATGGGTAAAAAGCATTAATTATTTTTGAATAAATAAATTACTTTAATAAATGTGAAAGTAATTATTAGTAATTATTATTGTACAATCCTATAAGTTTTATTTATGTAACAGACAAAACTTATCAAATAATGATATGTGGCATAATGATGTGATGTTGTTTCTACTAAAAACTAAACTTGATTAAAAAAAAAGTTTCATATGTACATTAGACTAAATAGGTGCTAAAAATATCAAACAGTAAATATATTTTTAAAAAATTATTTTAAGAATTTATTTTTTTAAAAAAATAGTCATTAAACTTACCAAACTACATTCAATTGAATAAATAAATAATAATTCATCACTTCACTTTGTTTGAGCATACATTGCATCAATTAAAATATAAATAAGTAACTATTCTCAAATTATAGATTTATGAATGTTTAAATTTGTGCAAAATTTTACGTAGAGAATTATCAAATAATATCACAAGTTAATAAAATAATTTTTTCTTAACAATTACACTATATAAAAAAAAATATATAGCCAAAAAAGTTAAATTTAATTTATTTATCTTGTCAAATAAATTTTTATAATATTTTTTTACTTACTAAATAAATAAAACTTAATTCTTGTTTTAAGATTATGTTTATGGAGTATTCTTTTCCTAAAATAAGCTTACCCTTATGCATATTAAAATATGCTACATTATATATATATATAGATAGAAGATAATACATAATTATTTTTTATTTATTTCTATTCTTATAAAAAATTAGAAAGATATGACATCACTCCTTGAGTCTACATGAGATGTGATATTTTTGTAAAAAAATTTAATAAAAATTTATACAAAATTACAAAAAAACTATATAATAATTTATTTTATTAATTAAAAATTATATACATTAAAAGATATTGTTCATTTTATCCTTTTATACCTTGTATAAACTATTATAAATTAAATTTTATAAAAGTGATAAGTCACAAATCTCTATTAATATTATTCTATGTCAACATTTCAAATACTTTGCTATATCAAGACACTGCGATTATTTAGAAGAAGAAAAAAACTTGTATTTTGTGCCTATTTCACCTAGCGGCTATTATTTTGCGCCTTCTGTCAATCCGTGAATACATATATTTTACTAATTTTGTTTTATTTATTCATTAAAAAAGATAAAAAAATATTTTGATTGATTTGTTTATATAAGACTGAAGTATTATTAATAGCTATATTTTTATTAATATTCACAAATGTTTTTTAAACATCTCCCTTAGACAGGTTGAAGGGACACTCGTCTCTGCCTATTTTAGTAAAAATGTGATATGTGGAGAAAAATAAATAAATAAATAAAACATAACATGATATAAAAACACAATAAATGTTACAATGTTTCCTGCAAGTTAGATAAATTAATGAGAACGACCAGATTGCTCCAAGTGATTCATCAACATGATAAAAAATATTATTTTAAGAAGAACATACCGTGATGATCCAATTAAAATAATTAAGATTGCTAAATTTAATGAACAACCCTCCCTCTGTATCTGTATCTAATTATTTTTTTGTTTACATGCTAGAATAATTTTCCCAAGAAAATCTGAGTAAGCACTCATGACATAATGATGCAACTCAAGCCTTTTAATCACCGCTCAAATATATTTGTTTAGCCATTGACAAATACATCTTGCTACTTAGTATTTAAAGACTAACTTTTTTAATGTGCATTTAGCGATATAATAAAATATTGTTAAAATATGTATTTAACAAGAAATTAAATGTTAATATGTTAAGATTATAGAATTTTGGTATTTTTTTAATATTTTTTATTTTTTAGTTCTCAACAAATGTATAAGACACTCGTTTTAATTAGAAAATAATTTGTAATATTATGAAATGACAAATTAAAAGAATGTTTAATTCTATTACATGTTATTAAATGAAAATTTAATTTTAATTAAAATGATTGCAAAATTGTCCTTTGTAAAAAGCTAACGAAAAACAAGGATTTACACGAAGGTGAAGGTTTATTTATGAGGGATAACTCAAGGATAGCGCGTGATGGGACGGTGGGGTGCAAGGAAGAGTGGGAATCTCTTACACAAGTCCAACGTCATCATAAAACATTGGTAAGAGAGACCTACAACCTCCGCACATTGTCATTTTTAATGTGCGATATCTTTGGTTTCAAATTCCTATGCTCTCCTGGGAGTCTATTACTTTATTTGGTACACTTTTTGGAGGAATAAAAGGAAAAGAAAATACAAGAAAAAAGAGATTGATTTTTTTAAAAAAAATATTCCTATTTTTTATTATTATGATATTTATTTAAATATTGAATATATATTAATGTTATATATTTTAAAATAATAAGTATATATTTTATAAAATAATAAAACTATTATTAAAAACATAAAAATTTAACATAAAAAAAGATAAATCTTAGTGTTTTGTTTGATAGTTAAAAAAGAGAGAGTTTAAAATGAAATATTTTTAAGGATTAAAAATTTCATAACTGTTTAAAAAAAAATATCATAAACAAAAATATTTTATAATTATTTGATCAATTAATAAAATAGTTTAGTTAGTTTTGCACCCAACCCTTAGTAACGAAGTCAACACTCAACAGGAACAACTTTGATATTTAATTAGATAATTTTGCACATAATTGTCGGATTCATTTCGGTGAAAATCATAAGGTTATCAACAATGTAAGAGCTTAAATAGTATATAAACCACAGATAAAAAGTCATGTCTATCAACCACAGATTAAAAATAATACAAAGTTGGGTTGGATTTAAATATAATTTAAAAATGAAATTACAAAATGTTGGTTCAGTTTGAATTAATTTTTAATTTTTATTTATTATTATATAAATTTTATTTTATAAAATTTAAGTAATAGTAACTCAAAATTAAAATATATTTGTTAAAAATAAAGAAAATAAATTATTATATAATAAATTTTTGAGAAAGAAAAAAAATATTCAATTCAAAAATAAAATTTAAAGTAATTAGAAGGGATATACTTATAAAATATCATGATAAAATTGAGTGAAAAAATAATTTTATATAAAAACATAATAAGAAATAATATAAATATAAAATGTGGTTTAATTAGGTTTGATCCAGTTTTAAAAATAAAAATTTAATTATAATATAAAATGTATTTTTAAAATATTTTATTTTTTAATCAGTTTAGCAGTTTAAGAACTATTTACTTTAGTTTTGAACACACTTAAAGGATACATGTAGACTAGTTAATCTCTTATTTTTAAAAATAGACCATATATTTTTGCTTAAATGTGAGTAAACAAATTAAAATATAAAATAAAGTAAGAGGTTAATTCACTTAAAATTTATATATATAATAAATTTTTATTAAAATTATAATATTTAATAGTCCCAAGACAATAAATTACATTAAATCTAACAATTTTTAATACAAATTTATTATATATAATTTTTTAATTATATAATGTTACACATTAGAAAAAATGTTATTTATGAGTAATATAAGTTTTACATTCATCGCTCTCCTGAGTTGATAATTTTTTTTTTATAAAAGTAATAAGTTGGACTATCAAAGATTAAAAAAACTTAATAACAAGCAAAGTATATTATATCAACTCACCTAAATAATTATATATTTTCTTAAATTTAATTACATTTCTATATTAATAATATTTAATTAGTCTTCCTTTTTATTGAATTTTATTCATGATAAAATTAGATCTGATCCTAAAATAATAAACATTTAAAAAGTATTAGTTAAAAAATGTCATTATATTTGAAAGTGTGGTTATAGTTTGGTTAATTTGATTTTTGAAGTTTATTCCTTCTCTCGTCGATCACGTGAGATAGTTTTTGGAGAGAGAAAAAGACACGCAGTTCTAGAGAGGGACCCCATTGCAGTGAAGAAAGAGCCAAATCGACCAGGTTCCCTCAAGCTCAAATTGAAAGCGCTATTCTTTATCTTTCTCTTTCCGGTCCAATAAATAATAATATCTTTCTCTGTGTAGTAGCATCTTTGTAAGAGAAGGGAAAAGCGGGAACAGAGAAAGCAGAGGGTTTGGTTTCTCTTTGCACCTTCACTGCTCTGCTCCTCACCTTTGTCTAGAGAGAGAAAGAGAAGGGACCGACCCAGTGGAGTGTGAGTGAGTCTCACATATATAAATAGTGGAGATAGCGTGTGAGAAATGCAGCAGCACCTGATGCAGATGCAGCCCATGATGGCAGCTTATTACCCCAACAACGTCACCACTGATCACATTCAACAGGTCCGTTTTTCTCCCTTCTCCACCTCTTTTCTTCTTCTTAACAATCTTTTTTTTCTAAACTCAATCTCTTGCTAACTGCTATGTAGTTTTCTTTTCCTTCCTGTTAGTCCCTCTCTGTCTCTGCTCAGGGAACCTTTTGTTTTCTGCCTCACAACTTCCTGCGCCATGTGGGTCTTCCTGTGCCACTTTTAGTCTCTTCCTCATCATCCCCTCTTCTCTTTATTCCTTGTCAGTTTCTGCTGAGTGCCTGGTGTGGTTTGTTGTTCGCGCAAATACTCTCTATTTTTATCACATGTGCTTTTCTCAGTGCTCAGATTACATTGTTATCTCAACAGTGATGATAACAATCCCTGTCTTTATCACATCACCTTCTCAACAACTCTACCCTCATTCTTGGGCCCTTAAGTACTTGTTTGGTTTTGATTGGTTTAGAGGCAAAAAAAAAAAAAAAAAACACCTTTTCTGAAGAATTTTGGTTGTAAGTGTTTTGAATAATTTTAAGTTAAATTCATTTAACCTTTTTTCACCGTCTTTTTAAGCAGTACCTGGATGAGAACAAGTCCTTGATTCTGAAGATTGTTGAAAGCCAGAATTCCGGCAAGCTGAGCGAGTGTGCGGAGTAAGAATTGGTCTTTATCGCAACATCATTTTAATATTTTGTTTCTCGTTTCTTAACTAGCATGTCCTCTTCCGGTGTCTAGTTGATAGGGTTATTTACAGTTAGATGCCAGTTCTACATCATATTAGATTCCATCTAGCGGTGAATGTCCTTGCCAACTAAACATGTTGCAACGCCTTAAAATAGATTATAATTTGAATTTGTACTATCCATCATGTCAGGATTTCTACTTTATTGTATGATATAATGTGTGAGAAGGATACTATGGCTGATTTTGTGTCATATAATATCTGCAAGGTGTAGGGACTTGCATAATTATTTACATCAAACTCTGCAGTGAATTTCTATTGTATTTTTGCGGTTATCTGATTCATTTGCTGGCCAATAAGGTAGATCCTTATGGGTAGGTTTCGGTTATTGACGTGGCTGCAAGATTGAAGAGTTAATGAAATTAAAAATGATTTATTATAACACAAACTTTTAAGAAGTTTTGAACTTCCTTGTTTCTTAATGTGATAGTTTAACACAATAACAGTGTTTGTTGTTATAAACTACTCAATCAAATGATAATTCAAAGGTGTTTGATGTCTTGAATCTAAAAGGAGTCTGCATTGACTTTCTATTCTGTTGCAGGCTTTTTCTAACATGTGGGATACCCCACAATGCTTAAAATTTTTTCATACCAATGGTTTTTATACAATCATGAACAAAAGTTGCAAAGCATGACGACTTGATGCAAAAAAGCCTTACCTTTTAGTAAAAGTATTTTACATCCTGTTTGATTGGTATGTCGATCTCATACTTTAGGACAACCCTTTTTTGGCAATTGCATCATTCAGGTTTTATTAATTCAGTTGGAAGGTAACAGATAACTTTTTTTAAGTTTTGGAAAGCTTTCTTCCGGAAATCAAAACTTCACTTGCTTACCTTGAGATACAAAAACACAAACAATTTTGGATTTTGCCCATAACCTCGTGACATCGGATTCTAGTTGCTCGTGTTCCTCTGCTGTGCTGCTAAATAATCATAATCCTCTTGCCATTATTTCAGAAACCAGTCAAGGCTGCAGAGAAATCTCATGTACTTAGCTGCAATTGCTGATTCTCAACCCCAACCTACTCCCATACCTGGCCAGGTACATGCATGTTGATTAGTATACGTGATCACTTACATGTTAGAAAGCGATTAACTCAAGAAAATATTGATTACATTTTGATCTTGTGAAATATTTAAAAGATTCATATCAATCTCAAGCTCGAGTAAGCTTCATAACTATTGCCCAGTTCTTTAGCCTCATACTCTTCTGGATAACACTGCAGTATCCTCCTAGTGGAATTATGCAGCAGGGAGCACACTACATGCAGGCCCAACAGGCTCAGCAGATGACACAACAACAACTAATGGCTTCACGCTCCTCTCTTTTGTATGCCCAACAGCCTTTCTCAGTGCTTCAACAGCAGCAAGGCTTGCACAGCCAACTTGGCATGAGTTCCAGTGGAAGTCCAGGGCTTCACATGTTGCAAAGTGAACCCACTAATGTGGGAGGCAATGCAACCATTGGTACTGGAGGCTTTCCTGAGTTTATACGCGCCTCTACCGGGGATGGTTTGCAGGGTAGGGGACTCATTAGTAGTGGCAAGCAAGATATTGGAAGTTCGGGGGAAGGCCGAGGAGGTAGCTCTAGTGGCCACTCTGGTGAAGCTGGTGAAACCCTCTACCTGAAATCTGCTGCTGATGGGAACTAGCCAGGGAGAATGGTAAAAGTCCCTGCCCTTTAGCAATTTAGTTAGGTGAATTAGGCAATGAATATTAAGTTTGGGGGGGGGGGTGTTTAAAAATTGGAAAAACTTTGTTCTTAGAAATCTTGCTTGTTTATCTTATGCTAAAGGCAAACAATCTAATCATTGTCTTAACGTTTCTGCTGTAGTACTAGTAACGTGATGCATGTTTTATTTTCTTGTGTAAAATTTTGGTCATAAATGTCAAGGTCAGAAGTTCATCTTCCCTCCCTTTCTGCTCTGTATGTCCACTGTTCAGCTACCTCCAACACACTCCTCAGCTACAAGCTTCTCGATATTGATATATGGCCATTGGTTACGACTATTTCGATTATCCTATCTCTCGAACGCACGGTAAGAAGTATTAAATACTATCATAAGAAGTATTTAATTATTTTATAATTTTGAGATAATAAAAAGTTTCTATTTTTAACTTCGTGTTTTCTCATGCACGTAAAAAATTGTTTAATAAATAGTAAATAGCTACTTTCCTGAATCAGGCTTGGGTTCCATTCACAGCTTCCAAACTTTCTCAGCTCAACACCTTGGTTTCCCTCGTTGTAAACAAATTGACACTTCCAAATTAACCACGTTTATAAATGAAACGGTTTTTTTTACATAACCGTATAAAACTTCCATGTTATGAAATCAGCAAAGCATGCAGCATATTGGCAAAGACCGAACAAAACATGTTAGGACACGAAAAAGTAAATTGCAATAGCGCTACGAACAAAGCAAGGGGCAAAGCATGAGTGAACTTTTAGCAAATGAAATTGATTACTGGGAATTCATGATTGTGCTAATAATGTATATAAAATATCTCTATTTATTAGATCACCGAGGAACTTCAGAAAAAAGAAAGAAAGAGAAAAAGGACAGTTAAGGCTCCCTGAATTTTCTATTTATATTTCGAAAAGAATTTTTCTTTTCTGTTTGAGTTCTGAATGCGAGGATAACATTTGTTCAGGCTTCAGGGTCTTCATTGAAAACACAACTGAACAATTGTAAAAGAGATTCGAAAGCCACGTAATTTATCTCATGCTTGACCAGTCTCATTGAAGAATCATGCTCGAGTCTCATTGAATTGTGCGAATACTAACAGTTAAATATCAGTTCACAACTTAATGATAACATCAACACAGATAGTTCCACGTAATATTGTATAATTTGTCATCGAAGTTATTGTATAAGTTTTTTGACATGAACATGAATCATAGATCATTTAAGAACTAACTATTCTAAAATTGGCATTATCGTTAGGAAATTATTTGATCAACCTTACTCGACAAAATTTATTGCCTCAAATATTTAAATAAAAATCAATTCATTAAATTTACTCATAATCGAAGTTATAAATTATACTGCAAATACATATTTAACAAATAAATGTTACTTTGCTTAAGTTTCTTTGATCTTTATTTTTCCTTTTCCTATCACGCGCACATAATGTTAATATAACTATTTATTTTTTTAAAATAAACATATTAACTTGTTATATATATATATATATATATTAGTTAACATATTTTCAATAAAATTTGAATATCAGGCAAGTAAAAAAAATGATTTATTGTGAAGGTTATGCTTGGTATTCTCAAGTGACAAGTGCCAGTTATAGTGTTTCATGGAACACAAAGGAAGTGAGAAATTCCGTTAAAAAGCGAAGAGTGAGAAACGATAGTTGATTAGGAACCACGAGTTGGCGCGAAAGCAAAGGGAAGAAGAAGAAGGTGCCGAAGTTGAAGGGCGTAGCGAAGAATGTCGCTTGATGGAGCCACACCCACACACCCATTCCATTCACTTACACTTCTCTCCTCCTCCCCTTCTTCCATTCTCTCTCCTTTCAATTTCACTTTCAGCTTCCCAGTTTGCCACATTCTTATCGCGCTTCTTCATTCGAACCTCAACATCACATCCCTAACTTATTTGCTTGTCTTTATGAACCTCCTCGTTCATCCTTCCCAAACCTTCCGATTTACACCTCAATAATGGTACATTCGCTAATCCATTCTCGATTTACGTTTTTTTTCATTTCATGCATTTTTCTGTTTTATGTTTTCTTCTATAGTCGCTTCCACAATTAATAGAAGCCTCATGCCTCCTTTTGCTTTGTTCCTTTTCTATCGAACACGTTTTCGTCCCTCGGAATTGAAAATACTTATGTGGATGATTAAGTGGAACTATGAACTAGTTGCTTGAGAAGGTGGTAGGCGATCAATCAGAGTCGAGTGATTCTCTGCAATGTAGCAGATGTTTTACACAGTGATGCCACCGGTGGAGAAACTGTGAAAAAAAAAAGTGATTAATAGCTCATTGCAAATCTGACAAATCACACTTGGTTCTGTATAAAGTGGATTGGATGGACATGTTATCCTGTGCTGTGGCTCATGATTGTCTATAGTTAAAAATGAACTGCTGCTTTTAGACTTGAGGATTCTGATTTGCTGTGGTACTGCTTGGAATTTTTTCTAGATTCAAAAACTCAAGATATCTCCCAATAAAATTATTAGAGGAAGTTAATAAAAGAGATGTATTGGTTAATAATATTTACGAGAATTAAGTTTTTGATCGAGTTCAATGATGTCATGTAATCTTTGAAGCTGACCTCATGTAGTGGGATAAGGTTTAATTATTGTTGTTGTTGTTGTATCTCCCAATCAATACACGGTAAAGGATGTAATAGGAAAGACATATGATATATTGTCATGTAACAGCTAACTTTGTAATTAAACTGATTTTTCTACAATGTGGTATCCAGTTAGTTGTTATGCTACTATTCGTTAGAATTATGGTAAAGCATTCTGATTTATTTTGTTTGGCTGTTAGAATTATGGGTCCTGTCTAACTATAAGAAAGAAACTTGCATCAACACTGGACATATTCTAGTTTAGTTTGAAATTTATAGATCTTTCTAAGCACATGTCGTGGGAGAAACATATGTGAACTTCTTGCTAGCTTTTCTTGCAGACAAGATAATATAAAAGTACATATTTAGAACCTTAATGAGGATCTTACATAAATGATTGTAAAAAAAAATGATAATTCCATATCTCAATCTACAGGGGACTCCCGTGAATATTATTGTGGGTTCTCATGTCTGGATTGAAGATCCAGAGGTATCTTGGATTGATGGACAGGTATCAAAAATCACTGGAAAGGATGCTGAAATTGAAACAACCAATGGAAAAAAGGTTTGTAGACTGCCAGTAACTTGGTTCCTTATTTTATATTATTAAACTTTTTCCTTTTTATATCGAATGTATTTTGAGAAGAAGAGTCGCATGTTTAATGCCAATTTTGATCATTGATAGGTGACAGTGTGGCACCGTGTCTTGATAGATAAGACTTGCATTCTGGAAACAATCCATGCTGTATTGCGTAGCTAAACATTTGACATGGGCTTATTGGGTGACAACAGTTAATACAGAAGAAAGATAAAATAATAATGACAGGAATGATTTACCTCTCCTTTAGGGGTGATGAAATGTTTGGGGGGGGGGGGGGAGGGAGGCTTCCTCTTTTATTCTTTTTTACCTTGACCTTTTCTCTATAACAAAATTAATTCAGTTCCCTTCAATGAAAGTAATTTTCACATTAGGTCCTTCATTTATTCTTGCCTTGCCCCTGGTGGTCTCCTTTGTGATCATCCTTGGTTTATATACACAGTGACTACTTACATGGTGACCAGCTAGGAAAAAAAAAAAAAGCACTGCTAGTCAGCTGTATCTGAGCTTCAAGTAGATCATGGAAAGATTAAAAATGGAAAAGAAATACTAAAGTAACAAGTGAAGAGATCCATAAACAAGCATTCTTTCTTTCATCATTGGCCTTCCCAGCTTGAGATTCAAGTCATCGTTATGATCTATAGGAAATTGTTTAACTAATGTTTATCCTGCTTTGTATTTACTGATTAAACAAATTTAACTAATGTCTTTCAAGAGGCATTCTACTTCATTCCTTAATGCAGGACTTGTTCTTTCTCATGCTTGTATTGCTAACTGGAAAATGTGAAAAATATTTCAGTAACTTATTAACCCAAAGATTACATCTGAATTATTACTTGTACTTTTATTTTGCTATTTTAAGGTTGTTGCAAAATTATCAAAAATATATCCCAAGGATATGGAAGCTCCTGCTGGTGGAGTGGATGATATGACTAAACTGTCTTATTTGCACGAGCCTGGAGTCCTGCAGAACTTAAAAATTAGATATGAATTGAATGAAATATATGTAAGTCTTTCTTTCCTTTAATGTGATGAGATTCAGCAAAGTTTATCAGTGAAAATGTTGTTACCGATTGCTTTGGCAGACTTACACTGGAAATATTCTGATTGCAATAAATCCATTCCAAAGACTACCTCATATTTATGGTGCACACATGATGCAACAATACAAGGGAGCACCATTTGGAGAATTAAGCCCTCATGTATTTGCAGTTGCTGATGTTGCATATAGGTAATCCTAATTTTCTTCATAACATCCAAATTTCATTTCTATTGTTGAAGTAAATATTAAATTGATGATTATATTAATATCAGGGCGATGATTAATGAAGGAAAAAGCAATTCAATTCTAGTCAGTGGGGAAAGCGGAGCTGGTAAAACTGAAACTACAAAAATGCTTATGCAATACCTTGCTTTCTTAGGTGGTAGGGCTGGTACTGAAGGACGAACAGTTGAACAACAAGTTCTTGAAGTATGATTCAATTAATGACACTCATTTTTTAACACTAACAAAATTTCTATTCTCATTTTTTTCCTACGAATAACATTCCATTTTCTTTTTTTAAAATATGAACTCATTCAAATCTTCTCTTTTAACTGACTTGAGTGCAGTCAAATCCAGTTCTGGAAGCATTTGGCAATGCCAAAACTGTCAGGAATAACAATTCTAGGTGAGTATCTCTTATATGTGGGAAATGAAGAATTCTTTGGGTTTTATTCTCCATGATTCTAATATATAGATTAAGTTTCTCATCAGTCTTCCTAAAATATGGGCAATAAAGGATCCTTGTGCTTCATTTTGCTGCTAGTATGAAAGTATAGATTAACTTGTCTCCAGTTTTGTCTCATTTCATTACCTTAACATCATGTTGTATTGCCAAAAGTCATTCTGATATTAAGGACAGTTAGAATGATAGCCTTTTATAATCAAATTTTCATTCCAAAAAGGATTTTTTTTTTCATAAACTGCTACATGATACTTAATGTCTATGCTATAACCAAATAGTTGGTTTCAAATTCTGCTTGTGTTAATGGTGCAGTCGTTTTGGTAAATTTGTTGAGATCCAATTTGATAAAAGTGGAAGAATCTCAGGAGCAGCCATCCGAACATACCTTCTAGAGAGATCTCGGGTTTGCCAAGTTAATGATCCTGAAAGGAACTACCATTGCTTTTATCTTCTTTGTGCTGCACCGCAGGAGGTGGTTTTCTGTCTACAATCTACTTATTATTGATTCTTTTGATTATATAAACTAATTGCAAATTCTGCTAACAGGAAGTTGAGAAATACAAATTAGGAAATCCTAGATCATTTCACTACCTTAACCAGTCAAAATGCTATGAACTGGCTGATATAAGTGATGCTCGTGAATATCTTGCCACCCGGAGAGCTATGGATATTGTTGGAATAAGTCAGAAAGATCAGGTATTTCTTTCACAAGTTTGAATGTAGCTTCTTTCTGGCTAGCATATAGAATGATAGTTTTCTACCTTTCTGCTTTCCCCTGCTGTCGTGTTCTCAGGAAGCCATTTTCAGAGTTGTTGCTGCAATTCTTCATATTGGTAACATTGCTTTTACCAAAGGGAAGGAAGTCGACTCATCTGTTCCAAAAGATGATCAAGCCAAATTCCACCTTAAAACAACTGCTGAGCTTCTCATGTATGCTCACTGTTGTATTATTACTTCTGTCTGGTTGATTTACAGTAGCCTTAAAATGATTGTCAATATTGGATCAGGTGCAATGCTGATGCCTTGGAAGATGCATTATGTAAGCGTGTCATGATCACCCCTGAAGAAGTTATAAAACGGAGTCTTGACCCCCAAAGTGCTGCAGTCAGTAGAGATGGATTGGCAAAAACAATTTACTCTCGGTTATTTGACTGGTAAGATACTAAAAATGGAAACAAATCCATGTTTCCAAACCTTTATAAGGTCTAATTAGTGCCAGAAATACATTTATGTGATTCCTGGGTCATTCCTGTTTTTGTTAACAGGTTGGTGGACAAGATTAATAATTCAATCGGACAAGACCCCAATTCTAAATCCTTGATTGGGGTCCTTGATATTTATGGTTTTGAAAGCTTTAAATCTAACAGGTAATTTATAGTTTTGAAAAATAATCCTGTCTACCCATAAGTATGTCTGCAAGGGTGCATTACTGAAGTTACTAAAAGCAACTACCTCTAATTGTTTTGAAATTTCAATCATTTGTAACTTATTTTCAGTTTGTCATGCTCTGCAGTTTTGAGCAGTTTTGCATTAATTTCACGAATGAGAAGTTGCAGCAACATTTTAATCAGGCAAAGTCTCTGATCAAATTACGCACTTCAAGTTTGTTTGCTTTTTCCATATTTAACATGATTGTGATGATGAATTTCAGCACGTGTTTAAAATGGAACAAGAAGAATATACAAAGGAGCAGATCGATTGGAGCTACATTGAGTTTGTTGACAACCAAGATGTTTTGGACCTAATTGAAAAGGTTCTCTCTCTCTGTCTCTCTAAGGCATTCAGGATTGTTAATTCATTTTGAGTTGGAAGCTTTCAGCTTACATGTTCCAAAATTTTATGAAACCAAAAGGTAGTATGCTTTTGATATGCATAATGATGATGTTTACAATGCTGTCTTGTTTAATTATCCAGTCAAAGTTTACCCGCAGCCTATTTAGTGTGACTAACTGACTATAACCTCCCTATTAATGATGAATATTCAATTGATCTCAATCCATAAAGGTCAACTAAACATTGCAGAACAACTGCATACCTGTAGAAAGAAGCAGAGGAACAAGATACTGTGAAGAAAATAAACTTGGATAATGGATTTCTTTCTTGCTTCTTTGGAACTGAAACAAAAAACCTTTATTGTGTACATTACACGATCTGTTATTTTGCGTTTTAGATGATTATAAATTTACAATTAAAGAGGTTCCATTTCTGAGTAGTCTTCCACTAGGTCATTATTTTGGGCCTATTTTACAGCCTGATTCAATCCCTAGTTAGGCTTTTCCTTCCCTTTTGTTCTCCATTTCTTCTTTTACTATTTTTTATGTTGATTTTATTTTTTGTGCAGAAACCTGGAGGAATTGTTGCTCTCCTTGATGAAGCTTGGTAAAATATTTTTACTTTTCCCACGAACTACATTTTCACAGCTTGCTAGATTAGTTTAACCTTTCTCCCTTTAGGTTGATAAAATCAGATATGATCCAGTTTTTGTCTTTTTCTTTGAATCCAAGGTCCTTGTTACATAACTTACTAATTCTACCTCCAACATTCTCACATTTACCCTCTCCTTTTATCTTTCAGCATGTTTCCAAAGTCAACACATGAAACATTTGCAAACAAGCTTTATCAAACATTTAAGAGTCACAAGCGCTTTATTAAGCCAAAATTGTCTCGAACCGATTTCACCATTGCTCATTATGCTGGAGAGGTATGACTAATTCTCATAGCATTAGCTGCTGCCAAAATAAGATACCTTTGCTTATTCATTTTTACCCCTGTAAATCTGCAGGTGACATACCAGTCTGACCAATTCTTAGATAAAAATAAGGATTATGTGGTTCCTGAACATCAAGATTTATTGAGTGCTTCCAAATGTCCTTTTGTAGCTGGCCTTTTTCCACCACTTCCAGAAGAGACATCAAAATCGTCCAAATTTTCTTCAATTGGTTCTCGTTTTAAGGTATCATTGTTTTTCAATTCTGCATTGGTAAACTTGGGGACTTTGTCTTTCATAACAAATATATGAACAAGCTCATCTCACTACCTACAAAATTGAACTGCATTTTTATTATCAGGAAGCTAACAAAATTCTGAATGGTGCAGCTACAACTACAACAACTGATGGACACATTAAATTCTACAGAACCCCATTACATTAGATGTGTGAAACCAAACAACCTCCTCAAGCCTGCAATTTTTGAGAATAACAATATTATGCAACAACTTCGCTGTGGTGTGAGTATGCTTTTATGTTCTTTCTTTATTTCATTCTTTGTATAATGGTTCATACTGAAGTATATCCATAGTTCCTTCAAGTCTTCAACCCTTCTTCAACTGTTCCTAACTCTTGCCCTACAGGGTGTTTTGGAGGCAATCAGAATCAGCTGTGCTGGCTACCCTACTCGGCGTGCTTTCTTTGAATTTATAAACAGATTTGGCCTCCTTGCCCCAGAGGCCATGGAAGCAAAGTAAGAACTCTCAATCTTTATGCCTGGGAGGAAGATATTTTTGATTTGATATGTTTTGTACCAAACTTGGGCATTGTTCTAATTTCTTATTTTTTGTCACCTGTGAGTAGCTGTGATGAAAAGACTGGTTGCCAAAAGATTCTGGAAAAGATGGGGCTTAAAGGATATCAGGTAATTTGAAATATTTTGCTCGTTTGTGTTCTTGTCCTTAACTCTGCTGTAAAGCTCGAGGCCTTCACAACAACTATAACTAACTTATGCACATTGCAATATTAATTATAACACCTCTTTTGGATTTAACTATTTAATATCAACTGGGATCTTGTAACATGCATATATGTATAATATTTATTCCCAGCTCACATATTCACAAAATTCATTTGGTTTGCTTCAAATGTTGTAGATTGGAAAAACAAAGGTATTCTTGAGGGCAGGTCAGATGGCTGAACTAGATGCACAGAGAGCTCAAGTACTTAGCAATGCAGCAAAAGTTATCCAACGGCGGATACGAACCCATCAAGCTCGTAAACATTATCTTGCATTGCGAAAGAAGACCATATATGTGCAGTCTCGGTGGAGAGGTGAGGTGTTTCAAAAGTGATATAACCTAAATCATTTGTCAGGATAAATGCAGTCATATTTTCATAGAGTATACTTCCCTAATTGAAATAATGTATCTCACTCTCCTTTCTCGACATATTTTAAAGATGTATGATATATTATCTACAGGAAGACTTGCATGCAAACTCTATGAGCGCATGAGAAGGGAGGCTGCTGCTGTGAAAATTCAAAAGAACATACGCAGATATGAAGCTAGGAAAGCCTATAAAGAACTTCATGTGTCAGTACTTACACTGCAAACAGCTTTAAGGGCCATGGCTGCTCGCAAGAAGTTCAGATTTAGGAAGCAGACTAAAGCTTCCATCATTATTCAGGTTTCGGTCATGTAGCATATGATTTGGACATCCTCTAGGGAAATCATTATTCAATATTTTAAATTCTTTCTCCAAAAAATTGCAGGCTCAGTGGCGGTGTCACAAAGCTGCCTTATATTATAAGAGGCTCAAGAAAGGTGCAATAGTTACACAATGCAGATGGAGGGGGCGTGTTGCCAGGAGAGAACTTAGGAAACTGAAAATGGTCAGCTTCCATGTTTATCATAATTCTTATGCATTAAGTAGAACCTTCAATAATAGATGAGTAAAGATGTAATGGGTTCATCCTACATAACTTCTGGAACAAAAAGAAAAAGATACAATCTGATCATTTTTTTAATTGTAGAATTGAATTCCATAACGTAAAATTATATATGAACAATATCCATCTTTTTGTGTCATCATCATCATCATCACTATCTTCATGATTGTCTTCTGATCTGCAAAGTGTGAAATTGGCTTTAACTTTTCACTTGTGATTACAGAAGCCTATTTTTTTTTCCCTTTCTGTTTTTCATTTTTATTTCTTAAACCATTATCATATATTTATTTTGAAAGAAATGTAGTAGATACAAAATAAAGCTAGAAGAAAACTGCAAAAAGGAATATCCCATCCACAACTAGACTTGAACTGAGAGTCACACAATATTTCTTTCTTTGATATTTCTCTTTTTAGTAGCATGAAGGATCAAATCTACAACTAACTCCACCTTTATCCAACTGATTGTGATGCTTGTACATAGCTCATTCACTCTATTTAAGTAGCGTGGACCTCACTTTTTTATTTTATTTTTCCCAATTTCATTATATTTCTCTTTTCTAATCTCTTCTAAGCAGACGTATGTTTCTGTTTGCTTTAGGCTGCAAGAGAAACTGGTGCCCTTCAAGAAGCAAAGGATAAACTTGAAAAACGAGTGGAGGAACTCACTTGGCGCCTCCAACTAGAAAAAGGTTTAAGGGTAAGATATATGTTCTGCAGATAGATATAATTCTGAAGGATGTTGTTTGATCTCTTACACAACCATGCACTTTGAAAACATTTTAAACAAATCAGAAATAAAAGATGGGTAAATGGCCATCCATTGCAAGTTACCAAGTATCCTTTCAACAAGTAAGCCCTAAAGTAAACCATCTTGAATCATGTGCAGACCAATCTAGAAGAATCTAAAGCACAGGAGATAGCAAAACTGCAGAATTCATTGCAAGAGATGCAGAGCAAATTTGATGAAACTAATGCTCTGATCATCAAGGAGCGAGAGAATGTAAAAAAAGTTGTTGAAGAAGCACCTCCTGTTATTAAAGAAACACAGGTTGTTGTTGAAGATACACAAAAGATTGAGGCATTGACTGCAGAAGTTGATAGCTTAAAGGTAAGAAGTTCAGTTGTAAAAGACCAAATCTCCTGTTGGGTGAACCTTATTTCAAGGATGCAACTCTTTCTATATAAAATGCTTCTTTTAAAGTTGAAAGCTTGTATGACAATTTTTATTTTATTAAGGTACACATTAGATCATTCTTAAAGTGGTACATCGATTCTTTGGTCACTTTTTCTTCAAAAAAAAGATAGCAGAAATGAAACTTGGCATATCAGATTGAGGGCAAGAAGAATGTCAATGTTAAGGTGTTATTTAAATAGTAATTTATTTGTTTTTGTTCTGGACAATATGTATTCTATTCATAACCTAGCTTGTAAACAGAACTACATATGCATCTCATCAAAGATGTTCAAAACTCAGTGAAACCTTTTCAGGACGATTCAGAGTATTCAAATGAGATGCTGCATGTCTTTAGATCCTCAATATAAAGGGATTTAACACAGCTAGTGTCCCTCCCATTAATTTAAGAAACAATAAATAAATGTATGTCATTGTTCTTTGTCTTAACATTCATACTACTATCAAATCAAGGTATTCATTATTGATGAAAAATATAGTTAATGCTAGTTGAAGTCCAGTGATGTTCTTCTCTCACAAAAAGCCCTTTGGGCTTTAAGTGTGGACAACGACAAACATACTTATGCTGAAACATACCTTATTTATGAATAATTGTTTTTGAATGAGGGTAGTAAGGATCAAGATTGAACTCATGACTGTCCTGGAGGCTCCCATACTAAGTCTATATGTTAAGAACAAATCACTGCAAAACTAAGAGGTTAGGTGGAGGGCTGGAGGCACTTGAATAAATTACATCTCGAATAATTTACATTAGGACAGTTTATTGTAATTGGACAGATTATAAAGAAGGAAAAAAATGATGTAATTGAAATGTTTATGTTTCTGAATAAGTTTATCACAAAATGACTATGGGCACGATTTACTCCTAAGCTTATGAATGTTTTTGTTAGCAACATATCATGATAACCACATCTTAAGTGATTTTGCCTTGGTTTTATCTTCACAGAGTTCACTTGAGTCAGAGAAACAGAAAGCTGATGACTTAGAAAAAAAATATAATGAAGCCCAAGCTTGCAGTGAAGAAAGAGGTAAGAAATTAGAAGACACAGAGAAGAAGGTTCGTCAGCTTCAAGAATCATTGACAAGGTAATACAAATAATGAACAATAAGCTCTGATGTAATTGTTTTCCCATTATATTCAATTATGAGTTGTTAGGGTGAGGCTTGCACAATGTTAAAGTTGTTTTCGTGTGAATTGGAGGTCATTAGTACAAATCTTGGAAACCATATCTGCTTGTGGGGGTAAAAATACATACATCTACCCTCCACAGACCCCACTAGGCGGGAGCCTTGTGCATTGGGTCACCCTTTAATCAATAATGACCTGCCTTTAGGATATAGGATGACATGTTTAAACTTATCCTTCTGGAGATTTTCTTTCTCATGAAATGTGCAATAATATCATTGACCAGCTGTTCAGAAATTTATCCTTGTTTGTCTTCTCTTGACATATAGCTAATTTCAAAATTTGATCATATCATGCTCACTCTTAATTTTCTGAGATGGTTGACTAGAATCTCATAATTCTAATGATTAGGCTAGAGGAGAAGATTGCTAATTTAGAATCAGAGAATCAGGTTCTACGTCAACAAGCAGTTTCCATGACACCTAATAAATTCCTTTCAGGACGCTCAAGATCAATTGTCCAGGTAATCCTCAATAATGAATATTATATGCATGAAAACAAACATAAAGTTTGTCATTGGTTTAAAAGAGTTTCTTGTCTCTGTTTTTCTTTTCTCTGTTGATAGAGAACTGAAAGTGGTCATATTGCTGTGGAAGCAAAGACACCTCTGGTAACTAAATCTATTTTAAATTCCATTTTATTGGTTTTGGGTATGTCTGTATGGATTTGACTTGCTTCTTGGTCACCTAATAGGCTAATCAGGAACTGCATAGTAGTCAATCAATGCACCGGAGGGAACCCTCTGATGTGGATGATAAACCACAAAAGTCTCTAAATGAGAAACAACAGGAGAATCAAGAGTTACTCATTAGATGTATTGCGCAACACCTAGGGTTTGCTGGAAACAGACCAATTGCTGCCTGTATCATATACAAATGCCTCTTGCATTGGAGATCATTTGAGGTTGAGCGTACTAGTGTTTTTGACCGTATCATCCAAACTATTGGACATGCAATTGAGGTGTGAAAAGTGAAACTTCCACAAGTTATTGCCCTCTTTTTCTTGCACCTCTTTGTGAATGCATTCCTTTCAAGTTGCTTATATATTTACATTTGGACTTCAGACCCAGGATAACAATGATGTCTTGGCTTATTGGTTATCCAATGCCTCTACACTTCTCTTGTTACTCCAGCGCACACTCAAGGCAAGCGGTGCTGCTGGAATGGCTCCACAACGCCGTCGTTCTTCGTCAGCAACCCTGTTTGGGAGGATGACTCAAGTAAACAGCTTCTGATGTGAACAGATTAGTTCACAATGAAAATCTTTCATTCTTCAGATAATCATAGTTGCTTTTTCATTTTCCAGAGTTTCCGTGGAACTCCAGCTGGAGTCAATCTTTCCCTAGTAAATGGAAGCACAAGCAGAGGAGTTGATACATTAAGACAAGTTGAAGCCAAGTACCCAGCTCTGCTTTTCAAACAGCAGCTTACAGCATATGTGGAAAAGATATATGGGATGATTCGTGATAATTTGAAGAAAGAAATTTCTCCCTTGCTTGGATTATGCATCCAGGTATGGCAATTTATTCAATCTCTAGTAAGCTTCTACAACTGATCTATAATGCATGCTTAATAAATGATCAATCTATTTTACACATTTGGAATTAACTTATTTAAACATCACTGTTTGCATGTGATGATATGGTATAGGCACCAAGAACATCCAGAGCAAGCTTGGTTAAGGGATCATCACGTTCTGTTGCAAACACTGAAGCCCAGCGTGCTTTGATTGCTCACTGGCAGGGGATAGTGAAGAGCCTAGGGAACTTTCTAAATACTTTGAAAGCAAATCATGTTAGTATAATCTCTTTTGACATCATTCTTTCTATGTTTTTGCCTAATTATGACAATTTGTTTCAATAACACTTCTGGCTCTTTAGAAATATATTTGGACCCCTCCTGTTATATACATAATTATTTGTAATAAAATCATTTATTCTCTTGAAATTTAATAAATTTACATGGCCCCCCTTATCATTTCTTGATTTACATACATATTCTTTATTTCAATGTTATATAAGAAGGGATTTATATTAATGATTGAATGACAGAGGTTTATATGAATTTGAGAACAAAAAGGTTGGTTTACAAATTTGGTCAAACCTGAGAGATCTTCATATTATATTCTTCTGACATTACTTTATTAAGTCTTTCTTTGGCAAGTTGTAATGTTTTCATATATGTAGTGTCGTAATGTTGTGATATCTCCCACATTTGTTTAATTTTGGCAGGTTCCTCCATTTTTAGTTCGTAAGGTGTTCACACAAATTTTTTCTTTCATCAATGTACAATTATTCAATAGGTTGGTTTATTCTGCACTACTAATTTCCCCTATTTTAAGGGATGTCTTCCGTTCTTTAAATTGGAATTCTCATTTTTATCACCTCATATGTTCATTTTGTTTTGTTAGTCTTCTTTTACGACGGGAGTGCTGCTCGTTTAGTAATGGTGAATACGTCAAAGCTGGTTTGGCTGAATTGGAGCATTGGTGTTACAAGGCAACGGACGAGGTCCATTGACTTAACACTGCTGTTATTCTCTTGAGTTTTTTGAATAGGTACATATACTAACCCCCCTTTTTCTCCAAAATAAAAAAATTGCAGTATGCTGGTTCAGCCTGGGATGAGCTCAAACATATTAGACAAGCTATTGGATTTCTGGTATCTGTCTATTCTTAGCTCACCATCTAGCATTTATTTCCCTAATTGTTGGAGATAAGAAAAAACGGTGAACTGTTTATGCTCATCTTTGTTTAGGTCATACATCAGAAGCCAAAGAAAACGCTGGATGAAATAAGCCATGACCTGTGCCCCGTAAGTAGAAGAAATCTTTTTCTCAGTGAAGATTCACTTTACGGAATAGTTACCATTCTCAGTTCCCTGTGTACAGGTCCTTAGTATACAGCAGCTATATCGGATTAGTACCATGTACTGGGATGACAAATACGGAACTCACAGTGTGTCCTCTGATGTAAGTTTTTGCCAAAATAAAAAATAAAAAAAATTACTGCAGCTATGTTTAAAATCATCCATGTTATAAAGCAGTACGATAAAATGTAAGACTTGCAGAAAAACTATGTTGATCTTTGTCGTATTACTGTTTTCGTCTAGGTCATATCCAATATGAGAGTGTTGATGACTGAAGATTCAAATAATGCAGTTAGCAATTCTTTCCTCTTGGATGATGATTCAAGGTAAGTCAGATATCGATACCGCGTGATATTTGTTGAGATTTTCCTCCTGTTTTTTTTATACTTTTGCTGTTAGTTTACTCGCATTTTATTGGTGCTTCTACCAAATAATTCTTACTAAGTTTAAGCTATGATACCCGACAACCAAATACGAAATAAACATAAAACTGAAATAACCTTGTGGCAGCCCTGGGGTAACGATGCTCTTAATTTGTGATCCCTGACTTCAATTCTTCTCAAAACTCAACTGCTAGGCATAAGTTCACAGTAATTATTGTTTTAATGACTAGAGAAATTGTCCCTGTACAGGGCTAGAACTGGGTGAATTGGGTTTTACCTACATGTCCCCTTTCCCAGAATAACACACTGTATTGACAAATTTGCCATTTTGCTATGTGACCTCCCAAGCTTATAACCACACTCATTGGACTAAACCCATTGCAAGTTTACATTGGTGTGTCCTGAGTCACCGTCACATAATGCATGTTTGGGAAGCTATTATAAAGATCCAAAATAAGCTAATCTAGACACAGAAGCAAAGACTCCAAGGCCCAGTTTCAATTAGCTTCAAGCTCACAGGAGTTTTTTAATTGTAAAACCCCACTTTAAAGATTTTCTGAAAAGTTTTTAGGGTTTATAAACAATTTAGACGAGAGCTTCTGAAAAATTATAATGCATCAACTAAATTTAATTTATTAGAAAATTTTGATTTATTTTACCTTTTTAATTTATTTTCTTCTCTTGTTAGTATTTGGTAAAAAATTATCGAAATTGGGCTCCTAACTCCAATTCTAGTTTGAGAGGCTTGGAGTGGTTAAGATATTCTTTTGGAATCTATACCGTGACAACTCTAGTTGCTAACTGAGAGATACCCTTAAGCACATATGAAAAATATCTTGATCGTGACAATGTATGTAAAACTAACCATATGAAAGCATCTATTTTGCAGCATTCCGTTTTCAGTTGATGACATATCGAAGTCAAATGAACAGATAGATATCGCAGATATAGAGCCGCCGCCACTAATTCGTGAAAACTCTGGCTTTAGCTTTTTGTTGCCGCGCCCAGATTGACAGGTTTTTTGTAGATTTCATCGACCGGTATTCTTTCCCACCTTCATGGAGTTACCTAGTCACATTCAGATATAAGTTATCAAGGAATGCTGAATTGTTGACGTTGGCTTCGTCGGAAACAAGTCATTGTATCAAACACGCCAAAATTTTCATCTTAGTGATGGATGACACAACGTAGATCATCACGTCGTGCAAGTACATTTTGGGGTGGGAATAAAAAAGACATACTTAATAGCCTTTTTCCATGAGGTATCACTCTTTCTTTTATTAAAACCTTGTTGCTTCTGAGCACGTTGCTTTGCTTGGAATAAGATTTTGTATCTAGAAGTATAGAAATTTCGACCAATTATAGTAATGAATGAAGTCCATGACCATCACCAGAATATGGGTTTACAAAAGTTCATTGTTTTAGTTGGACGTGGTTCTGTCGGACATTTTCATTGCTTTCGATTTCGTGTTGGCTATTTTGCCATATCACAGCAAAATTCCCGAATAATGAATTGCCTCTGATTTTCACCTCCCGCGATATCTTTACTAGCTTATCGCTCCATCGAATTTGGCCTCATGAAATTGCTTAATATATTTTATTACTTCATCGCTTCATGTCGCAAAATTTTAAAACAAAAGATGAATTTGCACTAAATCAAGATTTGTGGTTTCAAAATAGAGGTTGCGTATGACTCCGATCAGAGTCTCAAAACTTGCTCTTTGCAGTGTATGTTTGAAGCACATACGTACATGGACACACAAAATGAAGGTAAAATGATGCGTGTAAAATTAAAACTTATTTTGGACCCCAAGATTTCTAGTACTTCTCTTATCAAAATATCTGTTGGGTTTTCACTTAATGAAATTTACATTTTTTTAAGCGAATAAAAAGGAAATGGGAATTTTTAAAAACAAATTACGTCATTTGATTTAAAAAATTACAAATTGTATAGAGAATAAGTGGTTAAATTCTCTTCTTCTTTTTTTTTTTTTAATTTCATCTCTTCTCCAATATTGAGAGATTTACGAGAGACAGAGAATGATATATAATTTTCGAATGGTACTAACAAAATTATTTTTGAATTTTTATTTGGGTTCTTTTTTTCTTCCATTAATACTTATAAGAATGCAACAGTGTATGACTATTAATTTTTCTTCTCTCTCTTAACTAAACTAAATTACATCTTTCCCTTGTTATCCCCCCACCCTCCTATTTTTTTTCCCTTTGTTTTGCTTTACTAAAATCTGTCTTCTTTAAACCAAACATAGCATATGAACTAACTTAATGAATAACATAATAATTGACTCAAATGATTTGAATTCAAGAATATTTAAAACAAGTTTTCTCAAACTGGCTTGCAAAACTACAATTAAGCTTCCAAAAAACTCCAGCTTATTTGATATTTCCAGCAACTAATGTTTAATTTAATTTATTTAAATAAGGAATTAAAAAATGATTATTAAAAATAAATGTTTATTGTCAATTTAATACAGCTTTATTGAAAAATGTTTGATAAGAGAATGAGATTAATGTATTAAAGTTACACTTAAATTTTAATATAAAAAATGTAGCATTCTTTTTAGTTTTCTAATTTTAATTTGCATGTTCAATTAAATAAATTATTGACTAAACCTTCGTTATTACATAATTCCAGTTTTTTAATTAATAATCTTATAACACACATTAACAAATTTTATTAATTACGTGGCATTTGATATAAAAAATTATTCCCAACTAAACTATTTTTCTGGGATGAGATTTTAAATATAACTCTTGAAAATTTTATAAAATATATTTAATTATTAAATTTTTTTCTTAAAAATAACATATTCATCATTAATTACCATAAAAAAAGTTTTAGTAACTTCTATATTCCATTATCATGGGAAAGTTTTATTTATACCTTTCAAAATATAAAAATATTATTATTACTTATTTATAAATTAACATTCACAAAAATATTTTATTTTTAGAAAATATTTTTATTTTATTCTACTGAAAATGAAATTATTGTTTTCTTACATTTCTTTTCGTAAAATCTTAAACCATATGCTATATCAAATACCACCTTAAGATATTCCTGGGTAGTGATACAAATTTTTGGATCATGAATATTTGATATTTTTCATTTAATATATATAATTTCTAAAAATAAATATTCATTATTTTTGTTTCATTTACGTAATAAGTATATAGATAAGTGAATAATATTCATAACAAGTTTATATTGTCTATTAAAAAAAAAACTCTCCCTCTCTTAATTACACTTTTTATTCATATATTTTAATGTATGTGTAATTTTATCTCCTTAATTTTAATTACTCGCATTTAGTCTTTTTAGTTTTTCAAATATTAAGTTATTCACTCAAAAATTTTACCCAACAATTAATAAAAACATAATAGAAGTATGACATTTTATTAATTCATACAAATAAGTAAAAAAAAGTTACCAAATATTTAAATAAAAATATAAATAATATATATAAAATATAATACTTTTATTTCATTTTATTTAATTATTTCATATTTTTCTTGATAAATTTTTATAAATCAATGATATAATATTTTGTATTCATGATATATTATCTAATAATAATAATATTATTATTATTATTATGTCATTGATTTATGATTTTTTATAATAATAAATTTTTTAAAAAGTAAAATTACTTAAATGTCCTATTTAATATTTTAAAGAAGACGATTTAAGTATATATTTTTTATTTTGAATTAACTTTAGTTGCAGGTCCATTTATCGCATTTTGTCACTACATAAGTCGATTGAAACTGATTTTTACTTTTGAATGGAAGTCGATTGAAATAATTTTTCGTTGCTATATGGAAATTGATTTGAATCGACTTTGGTTGAAGTTGATTGTGCTCTGCATCTCTCTCACGGAAGTTGATTAGAATTGATTTTTTCTATTATATGAAAGTTGATTTGAATCAACTTTGATTTTGTTATGAAGTTGACTTGAATCAACTTTAAAGGAAGAGCAAGATTCGACGTTAATTGACTTTTGCATTACTATATAACCCCTGACATGGCTAACTTAGGAGAGGGAGGAAGAAACACTTGTAATACAGTGAGAGAAAGGAAGAGAAAGAAATATAATGTTACTACAATAGAGATGGATAACGATCTAAATCGACTTAATTTTATTGATTATATTGCAAGCAAATTGTTAGTACAAATAAATATTTAAAAATATTTATTGTATTTATTTAAATTTTTTGAATTTAATTTGTCATTAATCTTTTTTAGTGTTTAATTAAAAAGAAATGTAAAAAATAATTAAATTATTGTATATTTAATTATTTGTCTGTTATATATTTATTTTTATGGTAATGTATTATATAATGTGTATTGTATATATAACACATAATTTTTGTTACGTATTTAATTTGTCGATTATGAAACTATTAGTGTATTTGATATTATAATTTTTACTATTTATTATCATAAATAAAATAATTATAGTTTTAGGCAAGTAAAAATTTAAATTATAACTTGTGAATTCGAATAAGTTCAAATTTAGTGAATGTTAAATATATTTGAAGAATTTTAACTATTGATTCATATTATAATAATTTATTTATTCATTTTAATAGACTTGATATATTGAGATAATCTTAATTAAATTATACTATTTATTTTATTTATTTTGTGAGGTAGTTAATTGAAGTATAATTTTGTTGTAATGTGTGCACATCAGATATCATATTGTATATGAATTAAATATTGCTTACTATTTTGTTGTTTTCTTTTAGTTTTGGTAAACAATATCTGATATATAATTTTCTTTTATCTTATACGAAGTTCAAATTTTAAAAATTAGACGCTATAATATGATTGTTGCTCCAGATTCGATGATGAAACTATTTCTTAGGCAAACTAGTTTTTGGCATTACGCAGATGGTGCTGATATTTGATTATGATAGGGCACTCATTAGTGCACTTGTGGAGCATTGGAGGCCGGTCGCATGCATTCTATCTTTTATACGGAGAATGTACAATAACTTTGGAGGATGTTGTGTTTCAACTAGGCTTGCATGTAAATGAGTTCCATGTGAGTGGGTGCATTGGAGCGTAGGAGAAATTTTATGATTAAAATATATGGGCATTGTGTGGAGATTTATTTGCAATAGTTTCAGATGAGACAAACATAAAAGGATTCTCCGTAAATCTACATTGGTTCATAGATACATTTGAAGCATTACCACACAATGCTGATGAGCAGGCTATTATCCATTACACTAGAACGTACATAAGTATATAATGGTTCTATTAGATGGAGTATTATTCCCAGATAAATTTGAATTTAGGGTTCATATGAAGTGACTTCCTCTTCTTATTGATTTTATTGGGACTACAAACTATAGTTGGGGTTTGCTATTCTAGGATCCCTTTATCGTGATCTTTATCATGTGATGAAATATAATGTTACTGAGATTGCAAGTTGTTTACCTCTTCTATAGTCTTAGGCATGGTACATAATACCTCACTTAGCCTCTAGACACTATCATCCACTCACTTTTCCACTAGCATTAAGGTATATTTATTTGATTTTTTAAATAAAATTTTATTTATATATGTTAAATTTGCAAGTATGAAATTCAATTATGTTCATTTTAGGTGGAAAAGTTTTAGGTCATTAAAGAGATCACGCATAGATAAGTTGTTGTGATATAGGAGGATCATTGATTCAATTGATATTAATGGCGAAAGTGAAAATATGACATATGGTACTATGTCTTCTATTCAATTATAAAAATTATTAGTCTAATATTTATTATTGATTGTTTTAGTTTAGGTGGATGCTCTACAACAACAATAAGGTAAGGAATGTTACACCTCGTTTTGTTTATGATGAGGCTGATATATAGGCATATGTGATTGCTCTTATCCAGTTTAATGTTATTGAATGACAACCTATTGATCGCGTGGTTCGACAATTTGATAGAGCACAACATATACTAATTATCTCCATAAACATTAATCGGTTGCATGCTAAGGATAGAAGGGGTGATATAGATATATGATGGCCTAAGTATTATGTGACATGACATGTTGCATGGGAGGCACGTAGGGAGCGATGAGTTCAGTATCCACTAGCTTATGATGATCGTCCCTTTGTCGAGTATTTCCAATGGTACTTGTCAGTAGGGAATAGATTTTGTCATTGGATGGAGCATCACAGGATCCAGAGCTTAGGGATTTACCTAATGGTGTAACACCTTATACCCCCAAGCACCAGACATAGTGTTCAGAGGGTAAGTGTACCCATCGAGAAGTAATAAAGGATTCTTAAACTAAGTTTCTGAAATATCGTCCCACAAGGATTGTTTTTCAATTACTAAGAATGTCATAATTCAATTGTTTAAGCTTCAAAG